GCGTTAAAAACTTGGAACAAGTATGTTACTTAAATTTTGACTAGTTCTAGAAGGAATGTGATTTTAAACTTGAAATGTAAACTAAAGGATTTTAAGAAGGGCACTTTGACAGGATGTTATAACTAACGGTAATGACATTAGTCTTGATGTACCTTAATCCATGCCTCAACTAGCAAGGTGATGCTAGCCCAACATGTTTGATCGGATCTGCTTTATGTGTTTGGTGAGCCTTGGTGACCTTCGAGATCAAGCTTATAGGATAATTCTGGATTATACCTCTAATCTTTGGATTAAATCCTCCTAATATGTTGGCTAAGACTGGATTTTTTGATGGTTTTCCACCAATATTGATTATATAGTTACTTCTAAACGAAAATTGTTGCCACTTTATTAAAAGATATTGAAATTGCAATTGAAATGGTTTGGAGCATACTTGTTCCCTTATAAACACAATTTTATCTATTATTGCTCATTGAGATTTTCTCATCCCTTTTTCTTAAAAATTTTTCCAACATTCCAGTGGTGATCCTAGCACAGGACCATCGGATTTCCCATAGATGTTATACGTTGTGATGAATATCACATTGTGCTTTTAATGTAGGATTAGATCTTTTTATGAACTATAACTTGTGTTAAATGTAATGATTTAGTATTTGAAGTTTATAGAATTACTCCATTTATCCACAGTATCGATGTGGAATTTTGGATATTTGATGAATGTCGCAAGTGAAAATTTGTTCATTTGTCGAGAATAGTATATTTATTACATGCATATAAGTGCCTAAGCTCTCTATTAAAAAATTATACAATTATTTAATACGTTATAAAATTTGGAGAATATTTATATATTTGAAGAAAGATTCTGTCAAAATTTTTTAAAAATTTATTACCTAATTAAATAACTTGTCTCACAGGCATATCTGTGTAGGCACTGAGCAGGCGCATCTGTGGGTGCCTGCTTGGAGCTCACGCAAGTGCCCCATCTGCGGGCACCTGCATGAGTAGGCGCCGGAGCTCTCGTAGGCACATCTGCACAGGCACCGAGCAGGCGCTAGCTCAGAGCTCACGTAGGCGCTTGATCTGCAGACGCCTGTGAGACTAGGAGCTTCTGCTGGCCCTGTGTGAGCAAGCGCATGCCCGGCCAGCGCCTGCGTCATTTGCAGCCCTTGTAGTCACCGGAGGGTGAGGGAAAAGGTACAGGGGTAATTTGGTAATGTGGTCTTTTATCTGATTTGTTATCCAAATTGTTATCAGGGTAACCGAACGTGTGATAAAAAACATGGTTACTATTGGGTCAAGATAAATTTTATCTTACCAGCCCTATCAGCCTTTATCTTATCTCCCAAAATGAACACCCCCTAAAATGTTAAGGAGACGTGCGCAATGGCAATCAATGCCCATGTGTGAAATTGATAACTGCTCACCAGAAGGTGGGTAACAGTGTTTGTTTCGTGGCAAGACGACGGTTTGGAAATTAAAATTTTATTTTATTTTCTTGAAAATAAAATCAAGCATAATAAAAAAATCCCATTTTTATTATATTGATATTAATTTTTTATTATTCACTATAATACATTTTTTTGAAATTATTTACCAAAATATATTAGGTCAATTAATAAAAAAGTTGATTTTGGTTAATTGACTTCTACAGATAAATCAATTTAAGAATAACCAATTTTTAAAGGAAGTTAGTTTAGCATTATTAGGAAGTTGGTTTTGTCTGAATTGGCTTCATACTATTAACTAGGGTTGTCAATGTAGTAGATTTTAATTCAAATCCGATTTAATTATTTAGGATATTTAATCAATAAAAGATTCGATAGATAAGATTTTATTATAAAAGTTCATAATTTGAAATAAATAAAAAAAATATAAATTTTACTTGATTTGATTAATTAAAGATTTGATTTCAAATATATATATATTTATATATATACATGTATTTATACACATACAATATATATAATATATAATATGATATAATATTATATAAATCACAATATAAATTTGATTTACTAGACTTTAATTAATAAATTATTTTTTCTTAAAAATAGAAATCAGAAACATATTTTTTTTTATAAAAAAAGTGAAAAGTACGCATATTAATTGATTAAATGTAATTGTTATACACTATTAGTAAGCTAATCTCAAATACAATATTTGTAGTTGATTAAATGTAATTATATTATACTTTTAAATTTAAAATTATTTATTAGTTCATTTTTTTAAAAGAATGTCTTGTTTTGATTTTTAATTATTTTTTCTAAAATGTCAAATAATAAATGTATGATAATTGAACAATTTAGGATTATCAATGGGTTGAATTTTAATTCAAATTCAATCTGAAATTTAAGATTCGAATTTGATTAAAATATTCAATAGATTAGATCTAATCATAAATGTTTGTAATTTGAAATAAATAGATTGGATATCAAATTAAACAATCCAATCCATTAAGGATCCAAATTTGAATTTTGATTGTATTTTTTTAAATTAAATTAATAATCTTATAAATGTGATATTAATAAATTCAAAGTTATGGAGATTAAATTGAGAGAATTTGAAAATCTAAAGACTCATATGATTGATAAAATAGAGTTGAGAGATTTAAATATAAAAGAAGATTATTTTCTTGACGAATCAGATTTTTTTTTAATTGAATTTTGAATTATTCATTAGATTTAGATGTATCAGATCAAATTCGCATATAGTAATAGTTAATTGGATTCAAATTTGGATATGTCTGATTTGATCCAAATTTGACTTGTTGATGGTCTACCAACAATTTAGATTTAGATTATTATTTTAAATATCAAATTTTATCCGGATTTAGATATAAAAGACATAAACACATATCCTATATAAATTCAAGTCAGATTCAGATATAGTATATCACTGTCGGATTCAGATTCGGATCTAGAACTCCAACCCATTGATAGTTCTATTATAAATAGACTTGATTGGAAAATCAATTTTTTTGAATCGACTACTTGTTGCTAGCCAACAACCCTAACACCACCACCTAGTCGTTGCTGACAAATGAAGCTCTGTCTTCTTGCTTTTTTTTTTAATAACTTGATGTGCTCTCTATTTCCCCCTTCTATTCCCTCTACACACCCCTAATTTTGGGCATCAAGCAGAAATTGGCTTCCATCATGCTTTCTAGTGATAGAAAGCGACATGATTGAGTTTGGAGAATCTTGGAGGTCGATGACTTACACCAATTGACAACTATCGTGCAACGTTTTGGCTTGATTTGGTCTTGGCGTATGATAGTAGAGAAAATTTGGGCTTTTGATTTTAGCTACTACAACGTTGATTGGTCACTTCTAATGAATCATCATGGCTTATGTGATGATCAGAGAGCATTAATGGTCAAGTTTGAGAGCTGACCGACCAATGACCTGCTGTTGATTGCTACCTATTGAGTTTGAATTCGTTGAAGATGGAATATGGATAGTAGACAAAGAGTCGATTGCCAACGATAGCAGCAAAGAGGTCGCTAGGTGAGATTGACATTGATGATTGAAAGTGGTGCTAGTGGTCCAGTATTTGTGATGGTGATTAAGTAGGGCAAATCATCGTCTTGCATATGTTTTGTCCTTTTTCTTTATTTTCGTAATTGCATGATGGTCATTAAGAAGGAGGGTGAATTGACTGTTGGTACACCATTGGTATCCAGAAATGTGATGGTTACTAAAGAGGGTGAAAAGCCCAAGATTTCACCATAGTTGCTTGTTATCACCAAATTTGGTCAAATTTTTGCACTATAGCTATTGATTGATGTTGGTCATTAACATTCAAGATTCTCCAATCTTAATTGTGTCACCTTCCGTCATCGGAAAGCACAATAACAGCCATCATTTTCTCAATGGCTAAAAACAATGGAGAGCGGAGGGAGGAGAAGATGAGATATAAAGCCTAAGATATCACTAACAAGAAGGAGAAATCGAAATTCGATCTGCTAGTGGTGACCAGGCACTGGCAATCATTGGCAGCACCAACAATGGTGCCAATAGGGCTAGCTTGTAATTGTTGCCATCGATGACTTTTATTAAAACTCGATTTAGTTAAACTAACCTTTCAATCAAAATGTTTATAGTGAATTGACTTCTCTTTAGCAGTTAGTTCCAGCCAAGTAGACTTTATGATCAGGTTGGTTCGTATTGAATCAAATTTTTTTTTAAAGTCAGTTACAGTTGAATCCAATCCTCTCTGGAAGTTGGTTATTCAATATTGATATCTTTTAGAAGTCGATTTATCACCAATTGCTAATGACCTAGAAAATATATTTTAGTAAATAATATAAAAAATATATTATAATAAATATTAAAAAAATTAATATCAATCTAGAAAAGGCAAAAAAATTTATGAATTTTTAAATTAGCTTTTAAATTTTAATAACCATTTAGGACAAAAATGGTAAAATAAACCCTCCGTCTCCTCCCACACAATGCACGATTATTTTATTGCCAAATTCAAATATTGAATTTATTTGAAAAATAAAATTATAAAATGCCCAATAGATAATAAAAATTATGCATGGAAATGGTTGTTTTTTGCCGCTGACTTGGAAATTCCAATAGGATTAGAGGGTGCTTCAATAAAGGCCGAAAAGAAAAATCAGCCTTTGACCAGAAACACTCCCAAAAATTTTATGAATTTGTACGTTACCGACATTTTCTTCTAATTTTTATTGTTTATATCGGGTACATCACCAACAATACCCTTTACAGAGCTTGCCCACACGACACTACTAATCTTTACAGAGATCACTTTAAACAGACATGAAAATGTACTATATATTTAGATTCGTTTGAATAATTTTTTTTTTTAAAACTTTATTACATATAATTTTTTTTAAAAAAAGAAACTATTTTAATTTTGTATACAATTGTAAAAATATTTTTTTTAAAATAATTTATTCAGTCACTTTAAAAATACTTTTTTTTTTAAAAATAAAACTTCAGCGAACCCACTCTTACTGGTCCTGATACGAATTAACCAGAGATCTGGGTGACCTTGACATCGGGCTTCTTTACCTCCTCTTGTGGGACCGTCACGGTGAGAACCCCGTGCTCCATCGAGGCCTTGACTTGATCCATCTTCGCATTTTCCGTAAGCCGGAACCGCCGAACAAACTTGCCGCTGCTGCGCTCGACGCGGTGCCAAGTGTCGTTCTTCTCCTCCGTCTCTGCGTGCCTCTCACCGCTGATCTGGAGGATTCGGTTGTCTTCAATCTCCACTTTCACTTCTTCCTTCCTCAAACCTGGCAGATCGGCCTTGAACACATGGGCTTGGGAGGTTTCCCTCCAATCAACGCGGGCACTCACGATTGCTGAATTTTCATCTCCATCGAGTAGGCCGAAAATGCTGTTTCGGCGTACGCTGTAGTTGTGCGGCACCATCGACATTTTTCTGATCTTTCTGTTAATTTCTTCTCGATCGAATTGCAGCTATGAGGTGCAGCTAGAAATTGAAAATTCTAAGAGTATTTACCGTGATCCTCTACATAAGGGGTTAATAATTTTACGGTTCAATTTGGGAAAGAGTCGAGAAGAGATGGTATTTATATATAGGGTAAGAGTAGAACTCTCCCAGGACATCAAGGAGACATGCGCAATGGCGATCGATTCCCGTCGGGGAAGTTGATAACTGCCCGCCGAAGGTAAATAGCGGCGCTTGTTTCGCGGCCAAATGACGGTTCAGAAATTAACGGTTTTATTTTCTTTCAAAATAAAATTAAGAATAATAAAAAAATATACCGTGAGATAAAACTTTTTTGAATAAATTTTTTTTGCCAAATCCTCTAATTTAAATATTGAATTTATTTCTAAAATAAAAATATACAAAATACCCCATATAAAATGGAAATGGTGGCTTCTTCGACTCAGAAATTCCAACAAGATTAGAGGGTCTTTCATTGAAGGCCCAGAACAAAAATTATGCTTTAACAAAGAAAAAGAAAACTCCAAAAAAATTTTAATTACTCTCTGCATTACCAACATTTTATTATCATTATTATTATTATTATTATTATTATTATTATTATTATTATTATTATTATTATTATTATTATTATTACATCACCAACAACATCCTTTACCAAACCTGGCCACATAAATTTACTAATCTTCACAGAGATCACTCCAAGCAGACGTGGTAATATACTACTAGATTTATCGAGCTTTCAAGCCCACGAAGTGTTTACTCTGTTTACGCACACATGGGAAAGCTAGCATACATTGATATACGGGTACATACTATTACTACCAACGATCAAACTTATGCATGGTTTGGGGTAAAAGACGTACGGAGGTTCGTCTAGCCAGAAATTTCAATGGATTTGACATCGGTCTTCTTGACTTCCTCTTTGGGCACCGTCACGGTGAGGACACCGTTCTCCATGGAGGCCTTGACTTGATCTATCTTGGCATTCTCCGGAAGCCGGAACCGCCGAACGAACTTGCCGCTGCTGCGCTCGACGCGGTGCCAAGTATCGTTCTTCTCCTCCTTCTCCGCGTTTTTCTCACCGCTGATCTGCAGGACTCTGTCGTCTTCAATCTCCACCTTCACTTCTTCCTTCCTCAATCCCGGCAGATCGGCCTTGAACACATGGGCTTCGGGGGTTTCCTTCCAATCGACGCGAGCACTCACGATTGCCGAATTTTCCAGAGAGAATTGAGGAAAATTGGGGAAGTCCCTCAAAGGATCCCAAACGTCGAGCGAGAAGGGATCGAACGCTCTGCTTCGTCGGTTGCCGAAGAAGCTCGGAATCAGAGACATTTTTCCTTTAATACTTTCGACTGCACAAATGAAAACTTCGTGTACCAAATTAGGGCTTCGATTTTTTCTGCTTGCACTCCTCACAATGCTTTGGAATTCTGCAGTGCAGAGGTTGGGTATATATAGGAAGTACAGAAATGTTCTAGTACATTCGTGGCTCACGGCGTTCCAGTGAGTTACGGGCGTCTGGAACATTCCGTAATCTGTCTCCGTTAAAAATCACGAATTTTCTAGACGTCTTATCACTTTTATCTTCGGTCATTTTTATTTTTTTAATTTTTTAAAATGAATTTCAACTTTAATTTAAAAATAGCAAAATTTTTATAAAATTTATTTTAAAAATTTTTCACTTCTTTCCTCCTTTTTTTTTTCATTTTAATTAATACCGTAATCAAGATATTTTTAATATCTACTTTATTATTTTTTATAATTAGTAAGTCTCAATGCCGTCTACTGCGGTCTAAGGCGAGTTTTCCATGGTACACCCGACGACTAGAAGAAAGTCCAGAATTCAGGAAAGTACTAGAATATTCTCCGACTTCTTGTAAATACCTAACATGTCCCTATAACTTCCTGCATTAACAAATCGCGACAACGTGCCTTCGCAGAAGTACATAGCGAAGCACTAAATCCGTCAATTCAGGCCTGAATACCTACCCCCTTATTCAACAAGGAGCATTCAAAGGGAGATGTCTCTATTCCGAGTTTCTTCGGCAACCGACGAGGCAGCGGGTTCGATCCCTTCTCGCTCAACTTTTGGGATCCTTTGAGGGGCTTCCCCAATTTTCCTCAATTCTCTCTGGAAAATTCGGCAATCGTGAGTGCTCGCGTCGATTGCAAGGAAACACCCGAAGCCCATGTGTTCAAGGCCGATCTGCCGGGATTGAGGAAGGAAGAAGTGAAGGTGGAGATTGAAGACGACAGAGTCCTGCAGATCAGCGGTGAGAGAAACGCGGAGAAGGAGGAGAAGAACGATACTTGGCACCGCTTCGAGCGCAGCAGCGGCAAGTTTGTTAGATGGTTCCAGCTTCCGGGGAATGCCAAGCTGGATCAATTCAAGGCCTCCATGGAGAACGGGGTCCTCACCGTGACGGTTCCAAAAGAGCAAGTCAAGAAGACAGACGTCAAATCCATTGAAATTTCTGGCTAGACGCAGAACCTCGGTACCTCTCTTCCCCTCCTCCTTCCCAATCCTTGGAAAATCGGCCTTGAACACGTATGGCTCCTGCATTATCTCCAGCTGCCCCGTATTTTGATGAATCTATGAGTGGGGAATCCATAACCAGTATTATGACCGCCAAAGTCCCTAGACGGGTCCAACATCTCCCTTGAGTAGGGCCGAAAATGCGGTTTCGGCGGACCCTATAGTCGTGTAGTGCCATCGACATTTTTGTGGTCTTTCAGTATGTGACACCCCCAAATTAAATTTTATGGCTTAATGGAAAAACTTGAAACTTGTAAGCACATTAATTTGAATAAGTTAAACGTTTTTGGGACCATTTTGAAATGAGAGAGAAATGGAGGGACCAGATTGCAAATAGTTTTTTTCTTTCCTTTCCTTTTCTCCCCTTCCCCTTCCCCTTCCCCTTTTCCCTGCACGTAACTTTGTGTGCTTAGCGTAACCCTCGAGCCCTAATTCCTTTCCCTTCTTCTTCCATAACGGACGATCCTTTATTCTCCTCCTGCGAAATGGCTGGCACTCCTCTTCCCTTTTCTCCTTCTTTATCCCTGCTGTGTGCGTGTCTTCAGCCGAGCAAGTTTGCCGCCCACCTGCCCTTGCTGGTAAGTGACTAATTTTCTAGTTCTAAATTTTTTTTTTTAATGTCTGTGAGTAGCTTCCATTTCCTTCCTCGTGTGTTTACATTTTCTGGACATTGGAATTATAGACTAGTGATTGTTCACTGTATGTTTTGGGCACACCCATAAAAAGGGAAACATGAAACCGTGGTTAAATTAGGCACAGAGATGATATACTCGTTGAATTTTTTTTTTTATTGATAGATTATGTTAAATTTTCTGCAATATTTCATTGGTTAATCGTCACAAAAGATATTGGAATAAGGGGGGACTGATTGAGGTTATTGTCATTCTGCCTACTGAGCGGGCTTTCTAACACAAAATGATATTCATTTTTTTTAAAGTGCATTGTTTGAATCAGGTTGATTGGTTAATCGTCTTTGCATATCCATGCAATTGGATAAATTTATATCCATTTTTCTTTAGTTGTTTCGGAATGGGGCATTTCTAAGCGATAAATAATTATTATTATAACAGCTACTTTCTCTCTGCATTTGATTTGCGTATTAATTTAGAAAACTGAATAGGTGGGCATATTAGAAAATTTGAAGAAATTACGGGAAATTAAAGGGAGTATTTTAGACTACAAGCTGTAATGTTGGTTTAAGGCCTTCAATATACATTTAAGCGTGAGTTCTCCATTCACGTATATTCCTAATTTGCATAGGATTTCTTTGGAGTGATTGTCTTTCGGAACCAAAGACTACATGGTAGCATCACATCCAAATTCGTTATTCTCGAATTATATCGTAAGTGATAATATGTATTTTTGTAAATTGTTTTATAAAATTCTTTAATTTAGTGAATTTTTTACTAATTTATTTATTTTTATGTATTTTATAAAAAGAATTGAATTTATGTTGATATGCATGTAAAACCAAAGACTTTTGGATTTATAATATTGCATTAGAAACCTGGAGTAAGTATGTTACATACTTAAATTTTGACTAGTAATCAAAGGAATGTGATTATGAATTTGAAATGAAACTAAAGGATTTTTAAGAAGGGTACTTTGACAAAATGGTAAAACTAACATTGGTAACATTAGTTTTGATGTACCTTGATAAGTGCCTCAACTAGCAAGGTGATGCTAGTCCAATGTGTCCGGCCGGATCTACTCTATATGTTTGGTGAGCTTTGGTGACCTTCAAGATTAAGCTTACAGAATAATTCTAGATTATAACCTTAGTTTTTGGATTAGATCCTCCTATTATGTTAGCTCAGACTGGATTTTTTGATGGTTTTTTTACTAATATCAGTTATATACTTATTTTTGAACTAAAATTGTTGCTACTTCATTAAAAGATGTTGAAATTGCAGTTGAATTGATTTAGAGCATACTTGTTCCCTCATAAACACAATTATATCTATTATTGCTAATTGAGATTTTCTTACCCATTTTTCTTAAAATTTTTTTCTAGATCCCATTGGCGATCTTAGTATAGGGCCATCGGCTTGCCTATAGGGTTTATACGTTCTGATGAGTCCCACATTGTGTTTTCAATGTAGAACTAGATCTTTTTATGAATTATAGTCTATGTTAAATATAATTTTTTAATACTTGAAATTTATAGAATTACTTCATTTGTTCACAGATAAAATTCTCTAATTTTAATATTGATGTGAAACTTTGGATATTTGATGAATGCCAATGTGAATATTTTTACATTTTTCGAGAATAATATATTTATTGTAAGCTTATAATTACTTGAGCTTTTTATTAGAAAATTATACAATTATTTAATAATAGGCTATAAATTTTGTAAAATATTCATATTTTATGAGAGATTTTGTCAAAATTTTTAAAAAATTTCACACTTAATTAAGTTTACTAGGAATAGGTTATATTATTTGTAATGCCGTCTCAATCTTGAGTTTGGTCGTGACATGTTAATTTGTTCTCCGTCAGATCGTAGCTGGAAATCGAAATTGTACGAGTACTTAATAGGATCCTCTGAACTGGGGGAAGTCTGGAAGAGTATATTTATTTATTGCGTAGGAGTAGAACTTCCTCGACATGTTATGGAGGTGTGCGCAATGGCAATAGTTGCCTGCTTGCGAGATGGATAACTACTCGCCAGAAGGTAGGTAATGGAACTTATTTCGTGGCAAGACGATGGTTTAGAAATTAAAGATTTTATTTTATTTTCTTGAAAATAAAATCAAGCATAATAAAAAAAATCCTGCTTTTATTATGTTGATATTAATTTTTTATTATTCACTATAATACATTTTTTTGAAATTATTTACCAAAATATATTAGATCAATTAATAAAAAAGTTGATTTTGGTTAATTGACTTTTACGGATAAATCAGTTTAAGAAGAACCAACTTTTAGGACATGTTAGTTGGTATGATTAGGAAGTTGGTTTTGTCTGAAACTTTTTACTATAAACTAGGGCTGTTAATGTAGTAGATTTTAATTTAAAATTTAATCTAATTTTTTAAGATTTTAATTGATAAAAGATTCTATGCACAAGATCTTATTATAAAAATATGTAATATGAAATAAATGGATTAAATATAGATTTTGCTTGATTCAAAAAGGCCACGAATTAGGAGAAGGAATTGGGTTGGGTTTAGATTTGTAATTGGATTTGGGGCAAAGTGGACCAATTAAGTAAGTTGGGTTTGAGAGCGAGTAGAATGGGCGAGGCCCCAATCATGTGGGCCTAGGTCAACTCGGCTGGGGGACAAGGCGGGCCCAGCCCCGACCTAAACGGGGTTATAGCAGGGCGATATTGCTGAAAACAGGTCATAGGTGAAAGATCGAGTCAGCAGCCATGGATGCTCAAGGAAGCTTATGGAGAAACAAAGATTAGTTGGAGATAAAGCAAGGATATAGGAAGATTAAGACGGGTAGGAGAAGATCAAAGAAGTTCGGGTTTGCTTATAGATTGCAAGGAACAGATGCAAAAATCTAGGAAGAATTTGCACCGAAGGAGCTCGCACGAATCTGTACTTGGCCAAGATCGAGTCTAGATTCTAGATTTGTAGATAAGAGGGAAATTTGGAAGAGATTTTCCAGATAAAAGCCAAATTGGCTGGACAATCCAGCCCGTGGATGAACCTTGCCCAAATCCCAACTAGATTCAAAATGAACTGGGAAAGGGATAAGGGAGACTTCAAATTTGTAGGTGGAGAAGATCAAGGAAGAGATCTCCCAGATGCAAATAAGGCAAAATCAGCCAATAAATTCGAAAGAAGTCTCAGATGAATTGAGACCTAAATCCCAGTTAGATTCAAGATGAATATGAGAATAGATATGATGAAATCCTACCAAATAGGGATATTATCTAGAAAGAGATCAAGAATATTTGGCTCCTGCGTGAGCTATAAGTGAATAGAGAGATCTGAGAGATCAAGGAGGGGAGCCGAACTAGAGAGAGAGTTCGAGC